AAATTCCGTTTCATTGGAGCAGAAGCAATTAACAAAAAAAAAAAATCTAATTTGACATGAAACAGTGATAAGGCGCACACCTTTCAAAGTGTGTATTTGAACTAAGCAACATGTGTTTTGGTACTTTATGTGGGAGTGTGTAGGAGTGAGTACTTTTTATGGTATGCGGGGGTCCTAGTGGTAAATGTGTATTCAGGGGTCCTGGTGGTAAATGTGTGGTATTCAGGGGTCCTGGTGGTAAATGTGTTGTATTCAGGGGTCCTAGTGGTAAATGTGGTGTATTCAGGGGTCCTAGTGGTAAATGTGTTGTATTCAGGGGTCCTAGTGGTAAATGTGGTGTATTCAGGGGTCCTAGTGGTAAATGTGGTGTATTCAGGGGTCCTAGTGGTAAATGTGGTGTATTCAGGGGTCCTAGTGGTAAATGTGTATTCAGGGGTCCTGGTGGTAAATGTGGTGTATTCAGGGGTCCTAGTGGTAAATGTGGTGTATTCAGGGGTCCTAGTGGTAAATGTGGTGTATTCAGGGGTCCTGGTGGTAAATGTGGTGTATTCAGGGGTCCTAGTGGTAAATGTGTATTCAGGGGTCCTGGTGGTAAATGTGGTGTATTCAGGGGTCCTAGTGGTAAATGTGTATTCAGGGGTCCTGGTGGTAAATGTGGTGTATTCAGGGGTCCTAGTGGTAAATTTGTTGTATACAGGGGTCCTGGTTGTAAATGTATGCGGGGGTCATGGTGGTAAATGTGGTACATTCAGGGGTCCTGGTGGTAAATGTGGTGCATTCAGGGGCCCTGGTGGTAAATGTGTTGTATTCAGGGGTCCTGGTGGTAAATGTATGCGGGGGTCATGGTGGTAAATGTGGTGCATTCAGGGGTCCTGGTGTCCTGTACCTAATCCTGTAACACTGAACCTAATCCTGTAACACTGAACCTAATCCTGTAACACTGAACCTAATCCTGTAACACTGAACCTAATCCTGTAACACTGAACCTAATCCTGTAACTCTGAACCTAATCCTTTAACACTGAACTTAATCCCGTAACACTGAACCTAATCCTAATCCTACCAGCCCTACCTGCAAAAAATACCACCCAAATAATACTAGATTAGATACCGATTCAACAAGTGGCACATTTTTGGCACACAACACGGTGCAGAGAGAAGTATTTCTAATGTTATAAATGTTGCTCAACATAAGGCTAAGAAGAAAAAAAAAGTGTCGAAGGGTCGGTCGACTGTCGCGAGCAGTACTTTAGCCAAATCTATCACTGGTCCAATGGTTCGCAATGTTTAGCTACGCCACAGGATGTTTAAGCTTGTGATTTCTCTGGGTGCTTGAATAATTAAACCGTTCTATAACTTTGAATTGTCAAAACCTCTACCTTGTAAGCCGGTCCAACGTCAAGCCGGTCAGAAAGCCCAACGTCAAGCCGGTCCAACGTCAAGCCGGTCAAGCCGGTCAAGCCGGTCCAACGTCAAGCCGGTTCAACGTCAAGCTGGTCAAACGTCAAGCCGGTCAACGTCAAGCCGGTTCAAACAATAATTCTTCGAGTTTTACTTCCTAACATTTTCCTCTAGACAAAAAGAATAACATGAACAATGAAACATTATTTACAAGATGTAACGTAACCGTAGGCATATGCTACCTCGGTGTTCAGTGTTTCTTCCAGACTTTTTTCTCGCGGGGGGGGGGGGGGACTTTTGAAATTTTCGGGAGGGGGGGGGGGGGGCGGTCAACATTTTTCGGGGGGGGGGGGGGGCAGTGTATGTTTACTATATAAAATCCATTTCCTTCGGGGGGGGGGGGGCGGTAGACTTTCTTCGGGATGCCTGGAAGAAACTCTGCAGATATACTCTTATTTCAGTAGGCTACCTTTCTGGGCGCATTGAAGCATGTAGAAATCTTTAATAAGTTACAGTCTTTACGTCCCGGAGAGCGATGGGGCGCGTATTACATCCTAATAGGTGGGGCGCTGAAATGTTACCGTTACACTCTAATCTTTGAGGGGTTAGAGTGGGGGGGGGGGGGTGGCAGAATGGTGTTACACTCTAACCTTTGAGGGTTTGAGGTGAGGGGGTGGCAGAATGGTGTTTGTAACCTTTGAGGGGTTGGGGTGAGTGGGGGGTGGCATAAAGTTGTATTGTTACAGCCTGATGGTTAATTCACAACGGTTGTTTTACAACCCGTTCGTTCAACACCGGATGGGTAATGTTTTCACAAACAGCATGCTAAAATAAATTGACGAGTACTTATGTTTGTACGACGAGAAGGTTTGCGTGGAAAGCTGGGTTTTTAAAAACTTAAAATATCTTTGTAAAACTTTTGACGAATTAATCTATAGAATATTAACAGTGGTATAATGTTTTATTAACGATACCATATATATATATATATATATATATATATATATATATATATATATATATATATATATATATATAGTCTTATGTCTCGCCAAAATATGAAGATGACTTTTAGCAAGAATTTGGACTGTTGCCTTCTGCGTCCTCTCCACAATACATTAACGCAACAATGCGGCACACGAACAGAGATTATCTGCTGCTCACCAGTGCACGTGCATTATTGTACGTGCTAACGTGAGCCAGGGGCGACCAAGACGCACTTGACAAGATATCAGCAACAAAGCGACGATCTAGTTTCACTGAGAGGTCTTTGCTTGTTCTGTCAAGCTATTTATAAATCTTCACCTGCCGTCTAACGCCATAAGACGTTACGTCACAATGTTCAAATGTGCCGGTTTATCAAGACTTTTTATGTATCAAGTTTTGACAACTGATGTCGTGAAACAGCAACAAATCTCACTGGGAAATGTCTTACTGTTCTCATGACTGACATTTATCAATTGTCCGTTGTCGCTGCACCACCGGTCTATTCTGTCAGATCTAAGGCGAGTCTATTCTGTCAGATCTAAGGCGAGTCTATTCTGTCAGATCTAAGGCGAGTCTAGTCTGTCAGATCTAAGGCGAGTCTAGTCTGTCAGATCTAAGGCAAGTCTATTCTGTCAGATCTAAGGCGAGTCTATTCTGTCAGATCTAAGGCGAGTCTATTCCGTCAGATCTAAGGCGAGTCTATTCCGTCAGATCTAAGGCGAGTCTATTCTGTCAGATCTTAGGCGAGTCTATTCTCTCAGCTAGCTCTAAGGCGAGTCTATTCTGTCAGATCTAAGGCGAGTCTATTCTGTCAGATCTAAGGCGAGTCTATTCTGTCAGATCTAAGGCGAGTCTATTCTGTCAGATCTAAGGCAAGTCTATTCTGTTATATCTAAGGCGAGTCTATTCTGTCAGCTAGCTATAAGACAAGTCTATTCTGTCAGATCTAAGGCAAGTCTATTCTGTCAGCTAGCTGTAAGGCAAGTCTATTCTGTCAGATCTAAGGCGAGTCTATTCTGTCAGATCTAAGGCGAGTCTATTCTGTCAGATCTAAGGCGAGTCTATTCTGTCAGATCTAAGGCGATTCTATTCTGTCAGATACATGACTAACAACAAACAGTACTGCGAGATAAACGGGGAAACTGGAAACAATGAATTGTCGGAGCCTTTTGTCGGGGCCTTTTGTCGGGGCCATTTGTCGGGGCCTTTTGTCGGGGCCGTTTTGTCACGAGCTGTATTGAGGTAGCAATTTAGTAGCGGGTCGTTTTGATAGGGTCGATTTCTTAAGTATATATCTTCAGTTCCCCATATTTATCCGCATTGTTTCCAAGTCTTGCACCATTTGTCTTTATTTTCTTTTTATCAACATTATTTTGACTAACCTCTCTAAGAGAAATAAAAGTATAGTGGTGGTGGTGTAGTGTTGGTAGAGTGGTGGTGGTGTAGTGTTGGTGGTGTAGTGTTGGTGGTGTAGTGTTGGTGGTGTAGTGGGGGTGGTGTAGTGCTTGTAGAGTGTTGGTGGTGTAGTGTTGTTAGAGTGGTGGTGGTATAGTGTTGGTAGAGTGGTGGTGGTGTAGTGGTGGTAGAGTGGTGGTGGTATAGTGGTGGTGGTGGTGTAGTGTTGGTAGAGTGGTGGTGGTGTAGTGGTGGTAGAGTGGTGGTGGTATAGTGGTGGTGGTGGTGTAGTGTTTGTGGTGTAGTGTTGGTGGTGTTGTGGTGGTTTAGTGATGGTTGGGTAGTGGTGGTGCTGTATTGGTGGTGGTGTGGTGGTGGTGTAGTGGTGGTGGTGTAATGGTAGTGCAGTGATGGTTGGGTAGTGGTTATTTGTGTAGTGGTGGACTAATGGTGGTGTAGTAGTGGTGGTGTAGTGATGGTGGTGTAGTGATGGTGGGGTATTGGTGGTGGTGTAGTGATGGTGGGGTAGCAGTAGTGTTGTGGTGGTATTGTAGTGGTGGTGTAGCAATGGTGTAGTGATGGTAGTGTAATGGTGGTTGTGTAGTGGTGGTGGTGTAGTGGTGGTGGTGTAGTGATGGTGGTGTAGTGGAGGTTTAGTAGTGGTGGGGTAATGGTTGTGGTGTAGTTGTGGTGCAGTGGTGGTGTAGTGATGGTGTAGTGGTGGTGGTGTAGTAATGGTGTTGTGTGATAGAAATCACATCAAATCCAGTGCAAACCTTAGAATCACATTAATCCAGTACAAACCTTAGAATCACATTAATCCAGTGTAAACCTTAGAATCACATTAATCCAGTGCAAACCTTAGAATCACATTAATCCAGTGCAAACCTTAGAATCACATTAATCCAGTGCAACCCTGAGAAGCACATTTATCATGTGCAACCAAAATTTATAAGCCTTCCTCTTCGTATACGCTGCTAAAATAAATGTAATAACACTGAAGTTATAATACAGTGATTTTTGAAGCTACGTTATCCCTTACATATGTAGCCATGCTGTAACATCATAAAATTGTCATTTTTTGCTGTGACAGAACTTGTGGTTTTTTTTTTTAAATTCATAATTTGTAAATGTCTTTAAAGATGTAATTCTAATGAGGTATATTATTTGCAAAAAAAAGGATGTCAATACTTAACATAATTTACCTTTTTTCCCCAGAATAATTAGTTCTGTTTTATCCCAACTTCAACTCAAGGGATTTGATGTGAAAGCTCTGAGAGCGTTCAGAGTATTGAGGCCTTTAAGACTGGTGTCTAGGGCACCAAGTAAGTTTGTTTAGTTTGTAGAGTATTGAGGCCTTTAAGACTGGTGTCTAGGGCACCAAGTAAGTTTGTTTAGTTTGTAGAGTAGGCCTTTAAGACTGGTGTCTAGGGCACCAAGTAAGTTTGTTAAGTTTGTAGAGTATTGAGGCCTTTAAGACTGGTGTCTAGGGCACCAAGTAAGTTTGTTTAGTTTGTAGAGTAGGCCTTTAAGACTGGTGTCTAGGGCACCAAGTAAGTTTGTTTAGTTTGTAGAGTATTGAGGCCTTTAAGACTGGTGTCTAGGGCACCAAGTAAGTTTGTTTAGTTTGTTTATTTTGTAGAGTATTGAGGCCTTTAAGACTGGTGTCTAGGGCACCAAGTAAGTTTGTTTAGTTTGTTTAGTTTGTAGAGTATTGAGGCCTTTAAGACTGGTGTCTAGGGCACCAAGTAAGTTTGTTTAGTTTGTTTAGTTTGTTTAGTTTGTAGAGTATTGAGGCCTTTAAGACTGGTGTCTAGGGCACCAAGTAAGTTTGTTTAGTTTGTAGAGTATTGAGGCCTTTAAGACTGGTGTCTAGGGCACCAAGTAAGTTTGTTTAGTTTGTAGAGTATTGAGGCCTTTAAGACTGGTGTCTAGGGCACCAAGTAAGTTTGTTAAGTTTGTAGAGTATTGAGGCCTTTAAGACTGGTGTCTAGGGCACCAAGTAAGTTTGTTTAGTTTGTAGAGTAGGCCTTTAAGACTGGTGTCTAGGGCACCAAGTAAGTTTGTTTAGTTTGTAGAGTATTGAGGCCTTTAAGACTGGTGTCTAGGGCACCAAGTAAGTTTGTTTAGTTTGTAGAGTAGGCCATTAAGACTGGTGTCTAGGGCACCAAGTAAGTTTGTTTAGTTTGTAGAGTATTGAGGCCTTTAAGACTGGTGTCTAGGGCACCAAGTAAGTTTGTTTAGTTTGTAGAGTATTGAGGCCTTTAAGACTGGTGTCTAGGGCACCAAGTAAGTTTGTTTAGTGTGTAGAGTAGGCCTTTAAGACTGGTGTCTAGGGCACCAAGTAAGTTTGTTTAGTTTGTAGAGTATTCAGGCCTTTAAGACTGGTGTCTAGGGCACCAAGTAAGTTTGTTTAGTTTGTAGAGTATTGAGGCCTTTAAGACTGGTGTCTAGGGCACCAAGTAAGTTTGTTTAGTTTGTAGAGTAGGCCTTTAAGACTGGTGTCTAGGGCACCAAGTAAGTTTGTTTAGTTTGTAGAGTATTGAGGCCTTTAAGACTGGTGTCTAGGGCACCAAGTAAGTTTGTTTAGTTTGTAGAGTATTGAGGCCTTTAAGACTGGTGTCTCGGGCACCAAGTAAGTTTGTTTAGTTTGTAGAGTATTGAGGCCTTTAAGACTGGTGTCTAGGGCACCAAGTAAGTTTGTTTAGTTTGTAGAGTATTGAGGCCTTTAAGACTGGTGTCTAGGGCACCAAGTAAGTTTGTTTAGTTTGTTTAGTTTGTAGAGTATTGAGGCCTTTAAGACTGATGTCTAGGGCACCAAGTAAGTTTGTTTAGTTTGTTTAGTTTGTAGAGTATTGAGGCCTTTAAGACTGGTGTCTAGGGCACCAAGTAAGTTTGTTTAGTTTGTAGAGTATTGAGGCCTTTAAGACTGGTGTCTAGGGCACCAAGTAAGTTTGTTAAGTTTGTAGAGTATTGAGGCCTTTAAGACTGGTGTCTAGGGCACCTAGTAAGTTTGTTTAGTTTGTTTAGTTTCTAGAGTATTGAGGCCTTTAAGACTGGTGTCTAGGGCACCAAGTAAGTTTGTTAAGTTTGTAGAGTATTGAGGCCTTTAAGACTGGTGTCTAGGGCACCAAGTAAGTTTCTTTAGTTTGTTTAGTTTGTTTAGTTTGTAGAGTATTGAGGCCTTTAAGACTGATGTCTAGGGCACCAAGTAAGTTTGTTTAGTTTGTTTAGTTTGTAGAGTATTGAGGCCTTTAAGACTGGTGTCTAGGGCACCAAGTAAGTTTGTTTAGTTTGTAGAGTATTGAGGCCTTTAAGACTGGTGTCTAGGGCACCAAGTAAGTTTGTTTAGTTTGTAGAGTATTGAGGCCTTTAAGACTGGTGTCTAGGGCACCCAGTAAGTTTGTTAGTTTGTAGAGTATTGAGGCCTTTAAGACTGGTGTCTAGGGCACCAAGTAAGTTTGTTAAGTTTGTAGATTATTGAGGCCTTTAAGATGGGTGTAAAGTATTGAGTTAAGTAAAAAGTGTCTAAGCAGGCAGTAAGTTTAAAGTATTGTTTCTATTCCAGGTCTCCAGGTGGTATTAAATTCCATTGTTCGTGCCATGGTTCCATTGTTACATATTGCCCTACTTGTAATATTTGTCATCATTATCTATGCTATCATTGGCCTGGAGATGTTTTATGGTAAACTGCACAAAGCTTGTTGTATAAACGAAAACATCAACATAACACATAAATGTAAGTTAAACTTCATTGTTTAGTATTTTTTTAACTCCTGGCATACATATCTTTGTTAAACTTGACCCACATGTGATATACCCTTGTTAAACTTGACCCACATGTGATATACCCTTGTTAAACTTGACCCACATGTGATAAACCCTTGTTAAACTTGACCCACATGTGATAAACCCTTGTTAAACTTGCCCCACATGTGATAAACAGTTGTTAAACTTGACCCACATGTGATAAACAGTTGTTAAACTTGACCCACATGTGATAAACCCTTGTTAAACTTGACCCACATGTGATATACCCTTGTTAAACTTGACCCACATGTGATAAACCCTTGTTAAACTTGACCCACATGTGATAAACCCTTGTTAAACTTGCCCCACATGTGATAAACAGTTGTTAAACTTGACCCACATGTGATAAACCATTGTTAAACTTGACCCACATGTGATATAATCCTTGTTAAACTTGACCCACATGTGATAAACCCTCGTTTAACTTGACCCACAGGTGAAGTAGTTGCAGAGGGCAATCGTGTGTGTGGTGGGGATTACATGTGTGAGCCTCAAGATGGAGAGACATGTGCTGATGGGTTTGAAGGGCCAAATTACGGAATCACAAACTTTGATAACTTTGGACTCTCTATGCTCACTGTCTTCCAATGTATAACAATGGAGGGCTGGACCACAGTAATGTATGATGTGAGTACATCTCTCATGATGTGAATACAACTCTCATGATGTGAGCACATCTCTCATGTTGTGAGAACATCTCTCATGATGTGAGAAGATATCTCATGATGTGAGAACATCTCTCATGTTGTGAGAGCATCTCTCATGATGTGAATACATCTCTCATGATGTGAGAACATCTCTCATGATGTGAGAAGATATCTAATGTTGTGAGAACATCTATGCTGATGTAAAAACATCTCTCATTTTGTGAGAACATCTCTCATGATGTGAGAACATCTCTCATGATGTGAGAACATCTCTCATGTTGTGAGAACATCTATCATGATGTGAGAACATCTCTCATGATGTGAGAACATCTCTCATGATGTGAATACATCTCTCATGATGTGAGAACATCTCTCATGATGTGAGAAGATATCTCATGTTGTGAGAACATCTATCCTGATGTAAGAACATCTCTCATGATGTGAGTACATCTCTCATGTTGTGAGAACATCTCTCATGTTGTGAGAACATCTCTCATGATGTGAGAACATCTCTCATTTTGTGAGAACATCTCTCATGATGTGAGAAGATATCTCATGATGTGAATACATCTCTCATGATGTGAGAACATCTCTCATGATGTGAGAAGATATCTCATGTTGTGAGAACATCTATCCTGATGTAAGAACATCTCTCATGATGTGAGTACATCTCTCATGTTGTGAGAACATCTATCATGATGTGAGAACATCTCTCATGTTGTGAGAACATCTCTCATGATGTAAGAACATCTCTCATGTTGTGAGAACATCTCTCATTATGTGAGAACATCTCTCATGATGTAAGAACATCTCTCATGTTGTGAGAAGATATCTCATGATGTAAGAACATCTATCATGATGTGAGAACATCTCTCATTTTGTGAGAACATCTCTCATGATGTAAGAACATCTCTCATGATGTAAGAACATCTATCCTGATGTAAGAAGATCTCTCGTGTTGTGAGAACATCTCTCCTGATGTAAGAACATCTATCATGATGTGAGTACATCTCTCATGATGTGAGTACATCTCTCATTATGTGAGTACATCTCTCATGATGTAAGAACATCTATCATGATGTGAGAACATCTCTCATTTTGTGAGAACATCTCTCATGATGTGAGAAGATATCTCATGTTGTGATAACATCTCTCATGATGTAAAAACATCTCTCATGATGTGAGAACATCTATCCTGATGTAAGAACATCTCTCATGATGTGAGTACATCTCTCATGATGTGAGTACATCTCTCATGTGAGAACATCTATCCTGATGTAAGAACATCTCTCATGATGTAAGAACATCTATCATGATGTGAGTACATCTCTCATGATGTGAGTACATCTCTCATTATGTGAGTACATCTCTCATGATGTATGAACATCTATCATGATGCGAGAACATCTCTCATTTTGTGAGAACATCTCTCATGATGTGAGAAGATATCTCATGTTGTGATAACATCTCTCATGATGTAAAAACATCTCTCATGATGTGAGAACATCTCTCATGATGTGAGTACATCTCTCATGTGAGAACATCTATCCTGATGTAAGAACATCTCTCATGATGTGAGATCATCTCTCATGTTTTGAGAACATCTCTCATGATGTGAGAACATCTCTCATGATGTGAGAACATCTCACATGATGTGAGAACATCTCTCATGATGTGAGAAGATATCGCATGTTGTGAGAACATCTCTCATGATGTGAGAACATCTCTCATGATGTGAAAACATCTCTCATGTTGTGAGAACATCTCTCATGATGTGACAACATCTCTCATGATGTGAGAAGATATCTCATGATGTGAGTACATCTCTCATGATGTGAGAACATCTCTCATGATGTGAGTACATCTCTCATGTTGTGAGAACATCTATCCTGATGTGAGAACATCTCTCATGATGTGACAACATCTCTCATGATGTGAGAAGATATCTCATGATGTGAGTACATCTCTCATGATGTGAGAACATCTCTCATGATGTGAGTACATCTCTCATGTGAGAACATCTATCCTGATGTAAGAACATCTCTCATGATGTGAGATCATCTCTCATGTTGTGAGAACATCTCTCATGATGTGAGAACATCTCTCATGATGTGAGAACATCTCTCATGATGTGAGAACATCTCTCATGGATGGGTTGTGTAAAGTGTTTTGGTGAATAATTATTACACTAAGCCAACTGGGTGGGCCTAAAAAACATTGTTTAGACGCTACATGAGGATTTTTGACTACTTTTCTTTCTGGAACTGCTTATCAAAATACTCAGATATGAAATTTATAAAAAAAAAACAACAACTTTGTCTTAAAGCTTTTAAATACTCCAGAAAATAAAAATTAGCATTCAATTTCCTGGTCTGTAAAGCTAAAAGCTTATGCTAATCTTGAAATATCATCTATACCCATTATTATCAACACTTATTAATATAGATTGATGAAAATAAAAGCCATGTTCCAAGATTTTTTTTACTATACAAATTTTTGCTTACAATCCTGATTATCACGAATACTTGTTGTTTTTTTTTTACGGATGCCTGCTAATTTGTTTTGTTATGTATTGATGTTTACAATTTTGTTTTTTTCATAGATAAATAATGCTATTAACAGTGACTGGCCCTGGATATATTTCATAAGTCTCATTATAATTGGCTCATTTTTTGTCCTAAACCTTGTGCTTGGTGTTCTCAGTGGGTAGGTATTTTACACTCCATAGTTAAATAAAAACTTAAGAAATATCAGTTCTCAGTGGGTAGGTATTTGACACTCCATAGTTAAATAAAAACTTAAGAAATATCCGTTCTCAGTGGGTAGGTATTTGACACTCCATAGTTAAATAAAAAATTAAGAAATATCAGTTCTCAGTGGGTAGGTATTTGACACTCCATAGTTAAATAAAAACTTAAGAAATATCCGTTCTCAGTGGGTAGGTATTTGACACTCCATAGTTAAATAAAAAATTAAGAAATATCAGTTCTCAGTGGGTAGGTATTTGACACTCCATAGTTAAATAAAAAATTAAGAAATATCAGTTCTCAGTGGGTAGGTATTTTACACTCCATAGTTAAATAAAAACTTAAGAAATATCCGTTCTCAGTGGGTAGGTATTTTACACTCCATAGTTAAATAAAAACTTAAGAAATATCAGTTCTCAGTGGGTAGGTATTTTACACTCCATACTTAAATAAAAACTTAAGAAATATCAGTTCTCAGTGGGTAGGTATTTGACACTCCATAGTTAAATAAAAACTTAAGAAATATCAGTTCTCAGTGGGTAGGTATTTGACACTCCATAGTTAAATAAAAAATTAAGAAATATCAGTTCTCAGTGGGTAGGTATTTGACACTCCATAGTTAAATAAAAAATTAAGAAATATCAGTTCTCAGTGGGTAGGTATTTTACACTCCATAGTTAAATAAAAACTTAAGAAATATCAGCAGTTTTCAATTAAAGCAGTCTTGATTCAGTGCTATTCTAATAATAAAATGTAATGAGTGATAGACTTTGTTCTGATGAAACATTTTTCTAAATGCCAGAGAGTTCTCTAAAGAAAGGGAGAAAGCAAAAGCCAGAGGTGACTTCCAGAAACTGAGGGAAAAACAGCAGTTGGAGGAAGACCTCAGGGGGTACCTGGACTGGATCACCCAAGCAGGTAAACAATTTTAGATCACTCAAGCAGGTAAACAATTTTAGATCACTCAAGCAGGTAAACAATTTTAGATCACTCAAGCAGGTAAACAATTTTAGATCACTCAAGCAGGTAAACAATTTTAGATCACTCAAGCAGGTAAACAATTTTAGATCACCCAAGCAGGTAAACAATTTTAGATCACCCAAGCAGGTAAACAATTTTAGATCACCCAAGCAGGTAAACAATTTTAGATCACCCAAGCAGGTAAACAATTTTAGATCACCCAAGCAGGTAAACAATTTTAGATCACCCAAGCAGGTAAACAATTTTAGATCACTCAAGCAGGTAAACAATTTTAGATCACCCAAGCAGGTAAACAATTTTAGATCACCCAAGCAGGTAAACAATTTTAGATCACCCAAGCAGGTAAACAATTTTAGATCACCCAAGCAGGTAAACAATTTTAGATCACCCAAGCAGGTAAACAATTTTAGATCACCCAAGCAGGTAAACAATTTTAGATCACCCAAGCAGGTAAACAATTTTAGATCACTCAAGCAGGTAAACAATTTTAGATCACCCAAGCAGGTAAACAATTTTTGATCACTCAAGCAGGTAAACAATTTTAGATCACCCAAGCAGGTAAACAATTTTAGATCACCCAAGCAGGTAAACAATTTTAGATCACCCAAGCAGGTAAACAATTTTAGATCACCCAAGCAGGTAAACAATTTTAGATCACTCAAGCAGGTAAACAATTTTAGATCACTCAAGCAGGTAAACAATTTTAGATCACCCAAGCAGGTAAACAATTTTAGATCACCCAAGCAGGTAAACAATTTTAGATCACCCAAGCAGGTAAACAATTTTAGATCACCCAAGCAGGTAAACAATTTTAGATCACCCAAGCAGGTAAACAATTTTAGATCACCCAAGCAGGTAAACAATTTTAGATCACTCAAGCAGGTAAACAATTTTAGATCACTCAAGCAGGTAAACACAAATTTAGATCAAACAGCTAAACAAACAATTTAGATCACTCAAGCAAGTGAATTAATATATGCTTGGTGTGACACATAAACAATTGAGTGATTTTAAAATTTGTTAATATGAACTTTGTGGTCAATGTTAACTAGAATGTTATTTGAACTTTAATGTCGATGTTAACTAGAATGTGAAACGAACTTTGATGTCTCACAACTTATTCTCCAGAGGATATAGATCCTGAAGTTGAAGAAGAAAATGAAGAGGGAGCAACACCGAGGCATTGTAAGTGTTTGAACATCTGACAGTATCATCGTACAAAATGGGCTCGCTAACTTCATGTACTTTACACATATCGATTACAGAACACAATTTTAAGTACTTTACAACTATTTGTAGTACACGATGGGCTCATTCATGTTAAGTACTTTACACCTATCAGTTGTAGGACACAATGGGTTCTGCCTAAGACATACAATGGGCTCTACTGCACACTTATATACTTTAGCAGTTATATACTTTAGCAAATGCCAAGATTTTCACCCATTTCATTGGTAGATAAAACTGCCAGGTAAAAATGTGCTCCTCTCATCTCATGTTATTTTAGCCAATATTTTTTTAGTTTATTCAAAGATCCTAACCCAAAACCGTGAGGTAAGCTCGCCGTGCCAACAGACAAAAGTGCTAGGAAAATAATTTGCTGAACTGCTCAGTTTATCATTTATTATCTCTCTTTTGCTTATTCTAAAGCCTGCTGGATTTTTTCCTTTGGTAAGTCTATTCTTTTCAGCTTAACTAGCTAGGTGGTTAGCACCGTGGAATGCATTGCCAGGTATACAATAGCAGCTGAGATAGCGGGCAATAATCAGTTTATATTATCAGCTATATACCTTCTCAAGTGTATTACCATATTCTTTACTATTAAAACTTATATTCATTTTATAATTCATACCTACATTTGGCATCTTTTCTATAACATTATTCTCACAAATTCTTCTAGGTGACAGCGCTAATTTTTTAAAACTTACCAAAGTGATATTTGTCACTATTCTCTTTTTATAGAACAAATGGATTTTCTTAAAACAGGTATATTTCTTTGCTATAGATATTGTAAATTAGAAACTGCTTAGAATTTAGTTTTTCCAAATGCCTAGGATAGTGTGCAAAACATCTGTTTGCAAGTCACTAAAGCTAATGAAAAAAAACAAGAAGAGGAAAAGTAATGATTTTCTCTGGTAGTTGTTTAAATCTGGATCAACAAAAATTATTTGAAAATAATGCAATTGTTGTAGTTAAAGTCAAAAGTTGAATGAGTCTTCTAGGAAGGGAAAAGGCTAGTAAGTTAATTACAGTTTCAAACAATAGATACTGCTTCATAAGTCAGATAAGAAAAATGTATTGTTAAAAGCCTTCAGTAAAGAACACAACAAAAAATGCTTAGATCTTCTGTGTTTTTAAAATATTATTACGCCCACAGTTAAATTAAAAACCTAATTCACTGATATTTCTGAGATTCTTCTGTTTTTAAAGTTGGAGCTAAGTTATTTGATCCAATTTTCAAGCCAAAGAAATACATTAGCGCTATTAGGTACCTACACCATTAAGCTATAGCTAGGCAGCGTCAAACAGTAATTTTATGAAACTCTACCTTGTGAAATCCCAAAGATTTCATTGGCATCATCTTTACTATGTAGAAAACCCACATTGTGGACCATCATTGCAATATTGCCTGAGAGATCATTCATTCATTTGCCTGGTTGTAACATATCTATTAGACTGTAACTTGTCTTACCATATCTATTAGACTGTAACTTGTCTTACCATATCTATTAGACTGTAACTTGTCCTACCATATCTATTAGACTGTATCTTGTCTTTTTCAGTTGATGAAAAGAAAAAAAAATGTAGATATTTTGTTGTAACTCTTTTTATTTTAGTTTTTAATGAAAGTTAGCAAGTTAGGAAGTCGCAGAAAGAAAGACTTGCTAGGACATGGTTAAAATGAGTTCAGCAAAACAAGTAGATTTTGTCTGTTGGCACACCTTGTATCTACTACTTTATTGACACCATTTATCAGCTATTTGACTTACTCCACACTGTACTTAACCTTTTATTTCTTTCAATTTTAATTTGAATGCTTGAATTTTATTTTAATTTCCAATGTGAACCTGTGTCATAGATTTGACTCTATGAAATAGATTGATGATCAGACTACTACTTTGTTGTTGTAATTTTTGTTTCTTAGAATCCCCCCTCCCTTTCCTTCCCTACTATAGTGAGAAGATAGTCTATGGGACCAATGTTAGCATGATCCTGGTGAATCTGGCTTACAAAAGCTGCTCAAATTTCTGCTCATCATATGGTCTTCCTGGTGTTTTTTTTTGTTGAGCTAACGAATTTCTTTTAAAAACTTTTTATTTATTTAATATTTTAAAATTTAAAACTAACAACAATTTTTTCCCTATTTTAAAATGATTTCAATGTATGCAAAGAGTGAGATGATCGTAGCGTTGTTTTTAAATAGTTTTAGAGTTTGACTGTGATACTTTAAAATAGTTTTAGAGTTTGACTGTGATACTTTCAGCTAAAATTGCAAGTGATATTGACTCAGTGGATAAGGTGGAAGAGGGAGAGAATGCTGAAGTTCAGCAGTCGTGGTTCCAGCAGAAAAGGCCAGTTATCTTAGCCTAATAACAGATACATTAAACCTACTTTAGTTATTAAAGGATACAGTTGTTATACAACTAGCTATTCATTATAAATATTAACTCTTAAAGACTGGAAGTATTTTCACATTTTACTGGAATTATTTTTTCCCTCAAGATTTTTTCATTACCTTACCACGAAACAACTTATATCTTTATATCCATTTATTTAAATCCCACACATTAGTGATATAAATTAATCATAACGAACACCCTACACACTAATACTAAATTTAGGGAACTATTTATTTATTGAAAAAGAAAATGACTAAGTTTTAAAGAAGAGAAAATTAAGTGTGGAAAAACATTCTGCTTCTATTGGGAAAATTATTGATAAAAATAATTTTTCATTAGTTCTTCTTCTCATAAAATGAAAGTATGTCTATTTTTCTGCCTGAAACATGGACTGGATAAGTATTAGAATAAATACAAAAATGTTTGGTAAATTTTGTCAATGGGCTTACGTAACTGTTTAGAGGTGGTAGCTGAATGGGATTCTGCAGTTTTAAAAAAACTTATTTTGCAAGTGCTTTTACCAAAACAATTATATAAAATACCAAATCAACCAAACTGGAAAATAATAAAAAGTAAAGACAACTGTCAATCACAGCTGGCGATAGCATGACCTAGATTTACAATTAAAAACTTAGATTGGGCAAAACAACAAATTAAATAGATAAAATGTAGTGGACACTGGGAGCATTGTTACAGTCTTAAAGAGTCAATATATAAATTTTTAAAAATTATAAATATTACTATATATACCATGACACACAAAACTGTTTAGATACCTATGTAGTTCTAGAATATCATTTAAAAAAACAACGTTTGATTACAATTTAAGATTTGTTATTGCAGGTTACATTTTCAAAAGTTGAACAGAAGATATAGGAGATTTTGTCGAAAGATAGTCAAATCACAAGCCTTTTATTGGGGAGTCATTATCCTGGTCTTTCTCAACACAGTGGTGCTCACATCAGAACACTATGGACAGCCTCCCTGGCTGGACGACTTCCAATGTGAGACTTGCTGCCTTAAAAACTTTGGTTCAACTGATGAAATATTCCCCTCCTTCCTCACCAATCACCAGCAAATTCCGTATCCGTTGGTTCTTCAGTTCTTTTTGTCCTTTTCTTCCTCACCAATCACCAACAAATTCCCTATCCCTTGGTTATTCAGTTCTTTTTGTCCTTTTCTTCCTCAGCTATAACCAACATGTTCTTCGTTGTCCTCTTCACTGCGGAGATGCTGGTCAAAATGTACAGCCTGGGTTTTCAGGGCTATTTTGTTTCACTCTTCAACCGGTTTGACAGCTTTGTAGTGGTGTGCAGCATCCTGGAGGTCATACTGCAGAAAACCGATGTCTTTCCACCACTGGGCATTTCTGTGCTCAGGTGTGCAAGGCTTCTGAGGGTATTCAAGGCCACAAGGTAGGCTGACCTCATGTTTGTCCTTGACCAGCAAATACTAAGAGTTTTAGTTTGGACCCTTCATTTATAATGTAATTCTTTTGAAATACTAAATTCTTGTAGGCCTATTTTAAAATTGACTTGACGTGGATTAAAAATAGTTCAACACCATTTTAATGTGAAATATTGATGTTTAAAAAATTAAAAGTAATAACATAAGGGGCAAGTAATTTAAATTTTGTGAATCTTTTAGCTACGATAATTGCTTATTGAAACACTCAACATTTAAAAAAAATGTAAATTATAAAAATTCAACATAAAATGTAATTATTTTCTTTTTAAATGTGCGTCTCTATTGACCCTCACCCCCAAGTTATAATAAATGAGATTTCTGCTTCAGGTACTGGTCATCCCTGAGAAATCTGGTAGCCTCCCTGTTGAACAGTATGAGATCCATTGCCAGCTTGCTGCTGCTCCTCTTCTTGTTTATTGTCATCTTTGCACTGCTGGGCATGCAACTGTTTGGTGGCAAGTTCAACTTTAAAGACAGCCCAAAGCCTCGCAGCAACTTTGACACATTCTGGCCCTCGCTGCTCACAGTCTTTCAGGTGGCTATTCACACATTCAAGACAACTATTTGTCTCTTACATACAGCAACTTTGACACATTCTGGCCCTCGCTGCTCACAGTCTTTCAGGTGGCTATTCACACATTCAAGACAACTATTTGTCTCTTACATACAGCAACTTTAACACATTCTGGCCCTCGCTGCTCACAGTCTTTCAGGTGGCTATTCACACATTCAAGACAACTATTTGTCTCTTACATACATGCTCCAAGTGGCTGCCTGTTAAGCATAAGTTATTCAAACATTATTTAACTTTTTTCTTTTATTTCTTACTTTCACAAAGGGTAGAATCATTTAAATTTTATTCTTGTTCTAAAATTATGAAAAATAAATGTGTAAGTGTAATTACATGAATTGTAAAATGTTTATTGTTTAAATAAATATTTTGTAAAATGAATATTATGTAAAATATATATTGTAAAATGAACTTGCAGATCCTTACTGGTGAAGACTGGAATGCTGTGATGTACGATGGGATTCGAGCTTATGAAGGTGTTAAATTCCCTGGAATATTAGTGTGTTTATATTTTGTTCTGCTGTTCATTATAGGTAACTGTATCCTTGACATACACACACTCACAAGTCAATTCTCTGAAATTTTTTGCATCAGCTAAGAAATGTGTAACAATTTTTTTTAGGTTTTTTTCCTTGACCAATGTCTAGATATTCTGCTAAATGTATTCTTGGCCATTGCTGTTGACAACTTGGCAGATGCTCAAAGCTTGACAGAAATTGAGGAGGAGAAAGAGGAAGAGAAGGAGAGGACCAGGTCATTAAGGCGGTCAAAGAGCAGAAGTCCAACTAAAGACCAGGAGGTAATTAACAATTAGTATCACTATGTGGATGTGGAGCGGTCTCCAACAGTAAGTGACATGGCGACCACGGATCCAGGCACGGATCAGTTACCCCCCAGTCATTACCCCCTAACCATTACTCCCTAAATAACCCCTGGATGAATTTCCATAACTCCCCCCTCCCCCACGCTATCAATCTACATATCCAGGTCATTTAGTAAGAATCTAAGAATTTTTTTTTTAAATTACGAGCAATACAATTAGTGAAATTAAAATTAATTAAATTAATTAATTTAATTAGGCTTTATTTATAATGTAACTGAAACAGTGATATTGAAAAAAAGTGGCTCCAGTGATTGTGCTGAATTTATTTTTTTCACATTTAAAATACATTTTTAATTGAAATAACTTTTGAAGTAGAATTTTGGTAACCTTTTTCTGTGATAAAAGTTGTTTGTTAATATTAGAAAACTATTATGCTATTTAATCTCATACATAATAAACTCAGACCAATTTTGTGTATATAATGCTTTTTTATAATTTTTTTTTAATCTATGTATGTATTTTAAAATAGGTGCCTTGGTTGAAAAAAGCGTCGTTCATTCGCCTAGTCATTGGAGAAGTAAAGTAGTTTTTATAGCATGGTAAATTAATTTTTTATCTTACAGGGAGGAGAAGAAGAAGGGCTGGATGTGAATGGAAATGATGAGGCTGGTGAACCCAACCACCTGAGTAGACAGCCTAGTTCAAGGAGCAGGAGGTAACTCTAGATTACTCTTGTTGATTTGGGTATCATTCTTGGAAAAATCTGGCACTCACAAGTAAAATATTCCTACAGGTCGTACAGGAAGGAGAGCACAAGCAGTGATCAGCGAAGTCACCTCAGCCCTGAGCACAATCTAAGTGGGGAGTACAGGGACACCCACACAGCCAGGGGTAAAATTCACATTCCCCAGGATTCTCATTGTTTGATACATAGTTTTATCAATACTTCGTTATAGATTCAATATTTTTTATATATGGTGTCTAAAGGTTTCATATTCTGAATTTCTGACACATGAAGAAGTACATTATTACCTACTGAACATTTTAATCTATTTCAATGACTAGATATATTATTACAGTGTTATCATTAAGAGAATTTTATAGTAATCCATGAAACTACTAATATATATATATATATAGGCCTATATATATATATATATATATATATATATATATATATATATATATATATATATATATATATATATATATATATATATATATATATATATATATATATATATATATATATATATATATATATATATTTGGAAAGTGAGTAGTAAATTATGTTACAATTTGTAATACATTTATCTGTGTTTACAGAAGATGATGAAGAGGAAAATGAAGAGGAAGTGGAAGAAGATGAAGGGACAGAGTGTACAGGTACAGAAGATGACCAAGGAGAAGAAGATGAAGATGAGTCCCCATCATCTGCCCGACCACGCAGGATGTCTGAGGTCCACATCTCCTCCCGTGTCAGGCCTATCCCACCATTCTCTTCACTCTTCATGTTTGCCCCAACCAACAAGTGAGTACTTCATTTATGTGGGACAAGGTCACATTTTATGTGGGACAAGGTCACAGAACAAGTACAACCTAAGCACAGCTGTTGTGAGATTTTATCAGTTCTACCAAATCCCCACTGAAACTCATTTTGTGCTGCACATCACACTCTCTTCTTACCTCCACACACAGAGATTTCTTACACTAAATATTAGCACTCTCCAACTACTATTTTTGTTGTAACGTTGTATACATAGAAATGTATTTTTGCTTTTCAGATTCCGAATCATCTGTCACAAAACATGTAACCATTCATATTTTGGTAATGTGGTCCTTGCCTGCATTCTGATCTCCAGTGCCATGTTAGCCGCTGAGGATCCTTTGAAAAGTGAATCGCCTAGAAATATAATTTTAAACAAATTTGATTACGTCTTTACTTCAATTTTTACCATTGAAATTATAATCAAAGTAAGCACACTTTGTTGTATTAATCATTGTTGTAAATGTTGTAAATGTTTAACTTATGACAAAAGTAATGAAAAAATGTCTAAAAAATCATTTTAACAAGTTTACATATAGCAGGGTGTTTATATTTCTCTGAACAAAAAACAAACTGGACATCAGTTACATTTTGTAGACCAGCATTTGTGTAAGATGTTATTGTCTGTACAACTGACATTGTCTCAAGTTGTGTTGAATTTTGTTTCAATTAGATCATCACCTATGGCCTTATGCTGCACAAAGGTGCATTCTGCCGCAGCTTATTCAATATTCTGGACTTACTAGTTGTGGCTGTGTCACTGATTTCCTTTCCTATAGAGTAAGTGGGTTTTCTTTTTTTAAACTTGTATAACCACAGTGCAACCTAGCCTTGTTAACTTATTTAATTCCTCTCATCACATAGTGACGTAACACTGTTAACAACTTTTGTTCATAAAATCACATAAGATTTAATTCCTCTTACCACACAGCAACCAAGCCATTTCTGTTGTGAAGATTCTCAGAGTGTTGCGAGTGTTGAGACCTCTGAGAGCTATCAACAGGGCCAAAGGACTTAAGGTTGGTACAGATCAGTTGTACAAAGGTTTAAATCCCAGAGAGAAAGTAGTTTCTTCACATGTCTAACCATGGCTTCCAGCAGCTAGATATAACAATTTTTTTCAATGTGTTCTATTAAATTACTGTTTACAATAGTTTGTGACCAAAGATTTTGTTAAAATTTTGTTTACAATAGGATGTGACCAACTGACCAAAATTTAATCTCCGCAGCATGTTGTCCAGTGTGTGATTGTGGCACTCAGGACCATCTACAACATCATGCTCGTCACATTTCTACTCAATTTCATGTTCTCTGTCATGGGGGTTCAGCTCTTTAAGGTAAATATTCTTTTATCATGTTCTCTGTCGTAAGGGTTCAGCTGTTTAAGGTAAATATTCTTTTATCATGTTCTCTGTCGTAAGAGTTCAGCTGTTTAAGGTAAATATTCTTTTATCATGTTCTCTGTCATGGGGGTTCAGCTGTTAAAAGTAAATATTCTTTTATCATAATCTCCGTCATGGGGGAACTATTTAAAGGAAATAGTTAACAAAAAACAATAGCTCCCATTAGATGCAGAAATTAACTGAGACTAGAACTTTAGATAGAACTCCTCACTTTCACCAGCTAAAATACAATTTTTTGACCTCTTAGGGCAAGTTTTATTTCTGTACAGATGAATCAAAACTAACAGAAGAGGAATGCCAGTAAGTTAAGTTTTCTACATAAGATCTGTCTCTTAAGTGGGCATTATATTATATATTTGAATGAACTTTGAAAAAGGTGATGAGTAGGTTAATGATTTGAAATAATGTTTTGCTAGTGTATCAATAAAAATTTGAAAGTTATTGAAACCTAATAAAAACATACCTGATTGCTAAATCAAAAAACCTCTTTATATTTCAGGGGTCAATTTATTAGCTTCAAAGGTGGAAATTATGATCAACCAGAGGAAAATAAGAGGGAGTGGGTTAAAAATGATTTTAACTTTGATGACGTGAGGAATGGAATGTTGACTTTGTTTACTGTTGCTACCTTTGAAGGATGGCCATCGTGAGTTTCTTTCATTGTTTTGTGTGTGCATTTGTTATTTATACCAACATTATAGTTGTATTGCTAATTTGTTATACCATTGTTTTAGTCATATTGCCAGTTTGTTATACCAATGTTTTAGTCATGTTGTCAGTTTGTTATACCAATGTTTTAGTCATATTGCCAGTTTATTATACCAATGTTTTAGTCATATTGCCAGTTTATTATACCAATGTTTAAGTCTTGTTGCCACTTTATTAAACCAATGTTTTAGTCATGTTCCCAGTTTGTTATACCAATGTTTTGATTTTTATATCCAGGTTGCTGTACAAGTCCATAGACTCCTATGATGAAGGCAAAGGTCCCATCCAGAACAACAAGCCAGCCCTAGCCATCTTTTATTTCATCTTTATCATTGTCATCGCCTTCTTCATGATGAACATATTCGTGGGTTTTGTCATTGTCACCTTCCAGAACGAGGGGGAGCAGGAGTACAAAAACTGTGAGCTGGACAAAAATCAGGTCAGTTGAGCCACATCCTTTTATAGAATAACTCTCCAGAATGAGGTGGAGCAGGAGTACAAAAACTGTGAGCCCCATTATTTTATAGAATAACTCTAGAATAACTAGAGAAAATTTTGATCAATTATAATAATAATTAAAAAAGTTATTTCAATGTTAAAAAGGTAAATAAAATCCAAGATGGCCACCACTCCCATGGCAATATTTTTTTGCCATTTTTTATTTTTCAGTTATAACTATATGCTAAGTATGATAGCATTAGGTTAAGAAATAAGCATTTTTGCTAATTTGGTACTGATCACCCGCCCATGACCTTAAAAGAGTCCAAAGTGTTTAGGATGATAACATAATAAATGTTTATTTTCTTCTTCTAGCGCAAGTGTATTGAGTTTGCTTTGAAAGTGAAACCAATCAGACGCTACATTCCAAAAGCAAGATGGCAGTACAAAATCTGGTGGTTTGTCACCTCACAAGCCTTTGAATATGGTATATTTGTGCTGATCATGACAAATACAATCACCCTCGCCATGAAGGTATTTCTATTCTCTAACCAGTTCTAATCTATGCTTTACTTATATCAAGTTTTTTACCCTAATTAGAGCCAAATGATAAATCCAAAATGCATTTATAATTTTTAAACACATGAGATATTTATCTTTATATTTTGAGATGTGAGTGTATTAGACTTGTATATAATATATACAGTTCCATAGATAGCACAACTTGCATGGTAGTGTGTCATTCACTTGTTGGTATAGACCACTTATCTTCATCTGTGAGGTTGGAGCAATTCGTGCTAAATTTCAGGAGGAAGATTTCAGCACTATCACCAGGGAAATACAATTGACAATTTCTAAGCAATGGAAAAATGTCTGTTGGCAGGGTAGCAACTGCAAGTTGAAAGCTCTACACAGAGATGTGGAATGTGTCCAAATTCTAGCTTAGATATATATAGATATAACAGAATTGTGGTGGCAGCTCCCCCTCAATTAGATCTTATGTTTGAGAGATCCACAGGATTATTACATAATCTGTCCATTTTTATTTCTTATTATGACTCAGACTGTAAAATGTAATTTTTGTGTGTTCTTATATTATAACTTTAATAAAATTATTTAAAACAAAATTCCACATGAAGACATAAAAAACAAAATAGCATAAGGCATTTACTGCAGTTTATATGATCCATTTCAAAGGTAGTTTCCAAGCTTTTTTCCTTATTGTAATGTTCTGGATTGTATCTGAAGCCTTCAGCTTATATTTGTTCTGTTCCACAGTACTATGGCCAAAGTGCAAGCTACTCAGCCGCTCTGGATTACCTTAATATTATATTCACTGGTGTTTTCACTGCAGAATTTATCCTCAAACTGGCAGCATTTAGATTCAAAGTAAGTTTACTTACAAGCAAAAGCCGAGGTGTACATTTTATCCAAATAATTGTCATAATAGATGGACCTTCTGCTCATTACACTTTACTTTGTTCTACTATTTAATTTAATACAGTTAATTTGTTCTTTATTTTAAAATATATTACATATAATGTCAAATATTTTATATTTAATAAGCCTATTTAGACATATCCTACATTAGTTGTATATACTGTTCATCATATTATAACATGAGAAACTAAAAAAAATACACTTATTCCCTAGAACTACTTTGGAGATGCTTGGAACGTTTTTGATTTCGTCATTGTGTTGGGTAGTTTTATTGACATTATCTACTCTGAACTTAGTGTAAGTATAGACAATTTTAAAAATGTCTGTGAATGTAGCTTCTGCCAACAGCAACACTATAACCCAAACATACAACCATAACATCAGGTATTGTTTTTCACCATTTGGGATCTGAAAATAACTTAAATAATAGCTTAAACAGCAACACATTGATACAGCTTTTTACTTGATCAAGCCAATCAAGAGCCTTGTAACAACTTCAAAAGAAGTTACAGAAACCTATTTTCAAATGTGACATTTGACCTGGATTTTACTCAAATAATTGGTATTAATTCGAGATACATAAAGTATTTTTAAAATATTTACATTAAATCATAACCAATGCAAGAAATGGCAAAAAAAACCCGTGTCTGTAACTAGACGTTTTCCATGTGGATACAAAGTTAGAGAAAAGAAAATTTGCAACATACAAAAGAAAACCCACATGATGTGCTTTATATAATTTTATATGCTGCTATTTGCATTTGTGGCTTCAGATACTCCAAATAAACTGTATTGAGACAACTCATGTTCACATCTGCATTATAGTCATGGCAGTAAAAAAAGACAAAAAACAATAGTAGAAAGTTTATAAACAAATCTCCAATATAACCCCAATGAAGGCAATTTTGGTCTTTGTATATGAATAAATTAAAAACATTTTAAAAACTACAATGCATACAGTTTTTAAATTATTTATATAATCAATTATTTAGTGTAACATACAGATTATTTACTAGTAATAATTATTGATAAATTCCAGAATGTTTTAAAAGCACATTACCAAATAAAAGCATTTGCATTAAAAAATCGCTTTATTTCTAAACAGGTCAATTTCATTTGTTTTATCTCCTAAAATTGTACTTATTTAGAATTTGTTTTATTACATGTGTTTTCTTTCTATCTATGACCTTTTTTGCCTGTATTCACTAATGGTTTGGTTTTATGTATGCTAACAGTTTAACCATTTTCAGCATAAATAGTTTGATCATTGTGTGCCAACAGTTTATATTCCAATGCTTGAGATTTGATACATTCTCTGCTTGTTTGTGACCGTTAATTTCAAATGCCATTTGGTCTGTGAAAAAAAACGATCCTAATTGTAACTTTATACAATGTCCATGTGTTTTCTTACAAAAATGTCTTCTTGCTGTGTTAGGTCACACCAAAATGTCTTCTTGCTGTGTTAGGTCACACCAAAATGTCTTCTTGCTGTGTTAGGTCACACCAAAATGTCTTCTTGCTGTGTTAGGTCACACCAAAATGTCTTCTTGCTGTGTTAGGTCACACCAAAATGTCTTCTTGCTGTGTTAGGTCACACCAAAATGTCTTCTTGCTGTGTAAAGTCACACAAAAATGTCTTCTTGCTGTATTAGGTCACACCAAAATGTCTTCTTGCTGTGTTAGGTCACACAAAAATGTCTTCTTGCTGTGTAAAGTCACACAAAAATGTCTTCTTGCTGTATTAAGTCCCAAAATGTCTTCTTGCTGTGTTAGGTCACACAAAAATGTCATGTAGTAGGCCACTCCAAAATGTCTTCTTGCTGTGTTAGGTCACACAAAAATGTCATGTGGTAGGTCACACCAAAATGTCTTCTTGCAGTGTTAAGTTATAAAAAAAGTGTTTTCCTACTGTTTCTTAAACAAAATTATTCTTGTCTATCCTTGTGTAACAATAATTATGATATAAAAACCATTCACCCAAACTTGATAATTTCGATTTCGTGTGCACTCATGTTTATGTGAATTGGAATGGCATTATTGAAGCTCCTATTTCATCACACCTGTCACAGTTATACAAAATAATTTTTTTTAAATTCATCCCTGTTATATAAAGGTATATGGTTTCAGAAATATTAAGTGTTTTTTAAAATCCACTTTAGACATTTTTTACTGTAATTACAGTAGCCCAAGGTAAAGGTCAGATAGGTATTGATATATCTTTAAGCCTGAAATGCTAAGCTACTCTATTCACACCCATGCAGCCAGACACTACAGCTGTAAGTAAAAAAAATACCCATCCGTCTTTGTTTACTGCTCTCATTACTTGTCCATTATTTGCTGCCTGTACAGTGTATGGTGGCATTTCTTCATCTATGGTGGAGAGAAAAAAACTATTTCAAAAGCAAGAGCTCTTTAGCCATGCATGCTGCCCTTTGACCCTCCAGACTTGCATGATTTATATTCTGCATGGGGATGGAAACTTGCTGCTAGACATTTTATTTTTCAATGTAGGACTATTTTTCTTACTGACATTTTTTTTTTTTTGCTTCATGCAAATTTAACAAATTGGAAGCTTCAAACATTTGTTTGCTTCAGCACATTGGAAGTTTTTAAATATTTTTTGCATACCTGCCTTATTAAATAGCAAAGTTAAATGATTCCCCATTTATGTATCATTCTTACTTTACTTCTATTTAGTTAGTTAAAGATCATTCAAAAGTTCCTTTGTTTTTTATTTAGAATATCTAGCAGTTTTCATCCCATGTAATTTTATTAGAGAAAATTAGCTAGTGAATTTAAAATTTCTAATTTCAAAATTCTTGTATGAAAAAAATGTGTTCAATCCACCTCTGGCTGTAAAAGTTATGGATGAAATATTTTTCTTTTTAGCTTTCCTTGTGCAACAAAGTTGTTCTTTAGTTCAAAATAAAATTCATTACATTTCAGCACCACTATTAGACAATTTATTTTGTTGAAAAATCTTTTATTTGAGCTTTGGAAGATGCTTTAGAAAGAAGCCCCCTAGAAAGAAGCATCAAAATAAAGCAAAAGACTATTTAAAATATAACATAGTCAAACTCTAAAGTATATATATCATGAAATTTTAAAATGTATTTGTCAAACCTCAGAATACAGTGCTGATATACAACAGACCAAATTTTGCTTCAATAACCAATACTATAAAAACAATAGATATAATCTATAGGAATGAAAAGGTTCATGTGAAGAGAGATGGAAATATTTCAACAAACCTGGAAAGAAGAAAGAGCAAGTTATTTTGGTCAGCTCAGCAATACATCATTAACACTTTAAGTTCCAGGTGAAAACCTGTGACATCACAAACTTGAAAACTGGTTCACTCAGCACATATTTAGTTAGAATATTTTGCTTGATTCCAAAGAAGTTGTACCAAGTTAAATCTTTATCAAAAAAACAAGTTTACATGAGTAGGCTATTAGGAGTTTTTATGTATTAAATTATTGTTTAGTTTTTAATTAATTATTTTGTAAATCTCTTGTATTTCTGTATCTTGTTTTGGTTTTCTATAGTAGTTCATCTAAATTAGTAGTTTTAGTATCTTTAACTATTCTGTCATTTATAAAGATCTAAAACAAACACAATTCTGAAGAAAACAAGTTTTGACTACAATCTAACTTCTAAAACACAGCAGCAAATAAAGCAGCGTACTCTTTACTGGTGTGAGTTGTGGAAAGGCTAAATAGAAGAGAATTGTTTAAAATTTAATTTAGTTACACGATTTACTATTTCATTTAGTAAAAAAAAAACAATAGAAACATTGATAAAAAGTATCATAGTATTTTCAAAATTGGATAATTCATGATTAGTTTAAGGTATTCTACTTATTAATAGTTAAACTCGATCTTGGCTAAAATAATTAGCATATTAATTTTTATTTGTAGTATCCCTGTCTAATTTTTTTTCAATGTATTGATGAGGCAGTTTAAATGTTGTGGGGAAAAAATTTAGTCTGTCTTTTAGGGCTACTTAGGTATAATTATTACTGTTAATGTTGTTGAAGAAATAAGCTAAAATTTAGCAGCTTATACAAAGACTGGAAACCAAATGTGGTATCTGATTCTTAACTGCTTAGAGAATAGCTTTTTCTAGCACTTTCAGAATGACATGCATGTAGCCTCCCTTTGTCATTTAGTACTAACTTAAATTGTATTGCAACATAAGCTTTGTTCAATTTCAACACTAGATCTTTATTACAATGATGCATTTTAAATACCTGGTATATATATATATATATATATATATATATATATATATATATATATATATATATATATATATATATATATATACATATATATATATTAATCACATTAAATTTATTATTTTCACCAACCTAATTTATTTTTGTAGAATATTTTGAGGAAATGTGTATGAAAAAGATACATTTTTTAAACATAATGCAATTTTTAAATGTAATAAGAGAAATTAATTAAATGAACAGTTATAATCCTCTCCAGATATTAAGCTTATAAATACAAAGAGCCATATCATTATTTTTTTCATGAAAAATATTTCAAATGTAAACTGGTGTAGAGCAATAGTACATTAATTTTTTTCTATGAAAGTAAAGTATTTTCCTAAACAAAATATCTAATGTTTTTATTGGATGCTTCATACAACTAGATCATCTAGCATAAGAATGCTTTGTTAACGTACTAAAATATTTGTTGAGTTGGAACTAATTTATTTTAAAGTTGATAGAAATGTGAATAGAAAGTTTGTTTATAACATGAGAGTTGTGTGTTTTATGCAGGTAAAATGTTTGACTTGTACTGAACGATTTGTGTCCCATTTATTTCAGCCTGGTAACAAGTTTATCAGCATTAACTTCTTCCGCCTGTTCCGTGTGATGAGGCTCATCAAGCTACTCAGTCGGGGTGAAGGGATCCGCACTCTTCTGTGGACATTCATCAAATCTTTCCAGGTAGCATCACATATGGAACTCAACACATATCTATGTAAAAAATGGGAGTTGGTTCAGGGAATTCCAATTTTTAAAATGTTCATCAATAAAATAACAGAGCAAAACAGATGTAAAAAAAAAATGCAAAAAAAGTGCTTTCAAAAATGATTCTGACTTCCTAGAAATTTCTCGGGAAAAAAGCAGAATAGAAACTTGAACCAAAACAGATTTTTATATTGGTTTTACAATCTATATATATATATATATATCAACTAATTAAACCACCTTAACAACTACAAATTGTATGATTTCTTTATAAGCTTTTGCACTGGATTTAAAAAAATAATCAGTAGCAATTTCTTTTGAGCATGAAGTAGTCCACTAGTTCTTAGTATAAAAATGAGTTCATTAAAAATAATTTAAACATTACAATTAAGAATTGCTATTTTGTTTTCACTATTCTTTGTGCTGACTTTTTGCTGAAGAAGTTTTTTTATAACTCTGTGATTTCTTACAGGCACTCCCATATGTAGCGTTACTGATTGTCATGTTGTTTTTCATCTATGCAGTTATTGGAATGCAGGTACACTAACTATATCATCTATAACATTATTTGGTGTAATTATTTTTCTTTTTTTATGTTATCTGTTTATAATGGGAGTATCACCAATTTAATTGTCACTCATGGTGAGACATTAAATTATTCAAGTGTTAAGTCCCATTATTGAAAGACAGTTCCTTCTAAATAAACTTAAAAAGTTTTTTTTTGTTTTTTATGAAAACAATTTTAATTGTAATTTTGTAATTTTGTTTTTTCTATTAATTTCATCTAATTTGTATCATTGTCTATAAACTTTCATTCAAGCTGAACAGAATGAATATTGTCAAATTTTCTATAACAGTAGATACACATTCTCTAAAAAAGTCTAAACAAAACTATTTTTATAATAACCTCATGCAGATGATTTTTCTGTTTTTATTACAATTTATTTTACTTATATCTTGTGTGTTATGTGCAGATGTTTGGCAAAATCAAGCTAGATTACAACACACAGATCCACAAAAACAACAACTTTCAAACTTTCCATCATGCTGTGCTTGTGCTGTTTCGCTCAGCAACTGGGGAATCCTGGCAGGAAATTATGCTGGCCTGCTCGGACAAGGACACCGTCTTGTGTGACCCTGGGGCAGACCAGCACAGCGAGGAGACCAACTCAACAATGAAAGTTACTCACACATGCGGGAATGACTTTGCTTATGTTTACTTCATCTCATTCTACATTCTCTGTTCTTTCTTGGTTAGTTTTTTTTTCAATTTGAGTTCAAATCAAACCTTAAAATTTCTGATGTAATTAGCTACTGTTCCTATTCAAATTTTAAAAAATCTCAAATTACTCTACACTGATAAAGTGACCATAACATCCCAGTGATAATTTGAAACACAATAATATTATCCCACTGATATTTTAGACCAGCGAAATTATCCCACTAATATTTTAAACTAACCACATTTACCAACTAGTTATTTTAAAGCTGCCAATATTTTGTGCAGATTATCAACTTGTTTGTCGCTGTCATCATGGATAACTTTGACTATTTAACTCGTGATTGGTCCATCCTCGGCCCGCACCATCTTGATGAATTTGTCCGTTTATGGTCGGAGTACGACCCTGAGGCTAAGTCAGTCAAACATTTTTTATGTGATTTTGTCAAGAAAATAAATAATTGCTTTGAGATTTTAAAATTTTACAAAAGATTAGGCCAATTATTAATTTAAGTAGATTAAAGTTTTGATACATTTGAATAACTTTCATACTTTAAAATAACTGTTGTATGTTAGAATAACTGTTGTATGTTAGAATAACTGTTGTACGTCAGAATAACTGTTGTACGTTTGAACAGAGGGAGGATCAAGCACTTGGATGTGGTGACTTTGCTAAGAAAAATATCTCCACCACTTGGCTTTGGTAAGCTCTGTCCCCACAGAGTAGCCTGTAAGGTGAGACCCTTCACTCTTTACTTTTTTTATTTATAATATTTTGTAACATGAGACCATTCACTCTTTACTTTTTTTATTTATAATATTTTGTAACATGAGACCATTCACTCTTTACTTTTTTTTATTTATAATATTTTGTAACATGAGACCATTCACTCTTTAATTTTTTTTATTTATAATATTTTGTAACATGAGACCATTCGCGCTTTACTTTTTTTTTATTTATAATATTTTGTAGCATGAGACCATTCACTCTTTACTTTTTTTTATTTATAATATTTTGTAACATGAGACCATTCGCGCTTTACTTTTTTTTATTTATAATATTTTGTAGCATGAGACCATTCTCTTTACTTTTTTTTCTTTGTAATATTTTGTAACATGAGACCATTCACTCTTTAAATTTTTAATTTATATTTTGTAGCATGCAACCATTCTCTCTTTACTTGTTTTATTTCCCAGTATTTGTAATGTTTTTATTGCTAATATTTTTCAATCAGTCACAAATCTTTAAATACATAACAATTTATTGGAAATAATATCTGAATCTAAATAATCATGCAAAATATTAAGGGTATCATCAATTAATTGCATTGCTATTGTAAATAATGAACTTGTGTGTTGTGTCCCTAACAAAGATGTCAATACATATTTCAGAGGCTGGTCAGCATGAACATGCCACTAAACAGTGACGGTACAGTGATGTTTAATGCCACCCTCTTTGCCCTGGTTAGAACCTCACTCAAAATCAAAACAGAAGGTAACATTGACACAGCCAATGAGGAGCTGAGGGCAGTCATCAAGAAAGTTTGGAAACGAACCAGTCCCAAGTTGTTAGATCAAGTTGTTCCGCCCGCAGGTAGTAAGTAGCTTAGTCAACGCATGGCAGCCTGGCACTTTGGTAGATGACTCACCCTTAGGTCACGCTGGAGCTCTCCATTAGGTCACACTGGTTTTTCAATAAACTTTAAAAAAAACCAATCAACTAGAAGTGATAAGTAAAACCAAAAAAAACCAAATTTGCTCCTATATTTATTTGCAATTAAAATGGGTGTATGTAAAAATCCTGATTGGCATTCCTCTGCAAGGGAATCCAACAGAAAATACTTAGAATATATATTTAAATATAAAGAAATTAAGTTTAAATACATTTTTAAAGAACATTGCATTGAACACATTATATTGCCATGTATTTCCAAAGGTAATGACAGAATAGTGATGGTAACCCTACATATGTAGCCAGCATTTTAACACAAAATTTTTTAGCCTCTAAATGTAGAAATGAAACAACTAGCGTGTGTGACTATGTTTTTACTTTGAGTAGATTAGCAGTGTGGTCAACACCTTCAGCCTGAACTTAACATTGAGAATGAAGTAGAAATAGAAATGTTTCCTAAATTATGTGTGGCTATGTATTTTAATCCCTCAACATTTTTTTTATATTTTTAGTTGCACTGATTTGAAATGAATTTTAGAAGTTTTATAAATTTTAACTGATGAAAAAAGATAATCTTAATTATATATTTATAATGGAATATTTTAGATTATGTAATAGGGACAGTGTAGCATATTCTTTTTTCTTTCAAATAACCCTTTTACAGTTTTTCATAAAAAAGTTTTTGCAACATTTTTTCTAATACCCACTTTTATGAAAATTAATGCATTAGATAAATTAGTAGATTTGTATTTTTTTTTACACAGTTTTACATTTGTATGAAATAGACTTATAGTTTGTTTACCTGATTATTTGAATGCACCACTGGAATGTTAGTAAAAGATACAACTGCACAATCCACTTGTTCACATTAGATTTTTAAAAAACATCTATTTTTTATTCCCTTTTAAAAAGAATGTGTAGTTGAGTTTTCAAATTTCTTTAAGTTTTTTGTAGTTTATAATTATTTGAATATTTTACATACATTGCTGTATTTAGAAACTATAAAACAATTTTAAGCATAATTAAATAATTATTAATTGTTAATAAAGCATTGATCATTAGTACATTGTAAACAATTGTGATGAGCCAAAAATTGCATTCAATCACATCTTAATGTAATTGAATGCAATTGTTCTGTGTATCTTTAACTAATAGTCGTTTGTTTGACCTGTAGGAGATGATGATGTAACAGTGGGTAAGTTCTACGCCACCTTCCTCATCCAGGACTACTTCAGACGTTTTAAGAAACGCAAGGAGCAGATGGTTAAAATACAGAAAGGTCAAGAGCATACAAATGCCTTACAGGTTAGTAGAGAAAATTTTTTTTGCATTGTCTATTTGTGCCTTTCATCTAGATTTGTATATCTGTTCATTGTCATTTGATTGTTATTTTTATAATCTACTTCCATTAGGTTTAAAAATGCATGTTTTTAAAAAAAAAAAACTATTTAGAAAGACTAAAGTTATCAGTATATATAAAAAAATGTATATTTAAAAAAATATTTTTTCTTATATGTATAAGTTGCAACCAAATATTGCTATAGTTAACTGACCTTATTTTTTGGGTAGGCTGGACTTCGAGCTGTCCATGACCTTGGCCCTGAGATCAGGCGAGCCATCTCTGGAAACCTGGACGAAGAAGAAACTCTGGACAAGGATGTGGAGGAACCCATGCACAGGGTAAATACATCATTGGGGGCTAGAGTACACCTCTATACATCATTGGGGGACTAGAGTACATCTCTATACATCATTGGGGGACTAGAGTACATCTCTATACATCATTGGGGGCTAGAGTACATCTCTATACATCATTGGGGGACTAGAGTACATCTCTATACATCATTGGGGGACTAGAGTACATCTCTATACATCATTGGGGGACTAGAGTACATCTCTATACATCATTGGGGGACTAGAGTACACCTCTATACATCATTGGGGGGCTAGGGTACATCTCTATACATCATTGGGGGACTAGAGTACATCTCTATACATCATTGGGGGCTAGAGTACACCTCTATACATCATTGGGGGACTAGAGTACATCTCTATACATCATTGGGGGACTAGAGTACATCTCTATACATCATTGGGGGCTAGAGTACATCTCTATACATCATTGGGGGACTAGAGTACATCTCTATACATCATTGGGGGACTAGAGTACATCTCTATACATCATTGGGGGACTAGAGTACATCTCTATACATCATTGGGGGACTAGAGTACACCTCTATACATCATTGGGGGACTAGAGTACATCTCTATACATCATTGGGGGGCTAGAGTACACCTCTATACATCATTGGGGGGCTAGAGTACATCTCTATACATCATTGGGGACTAGAGTACATCTCTATACATCATTGGGGGCTAGAGTACACCTCTATACATGACAGTACATCTCTATACATCATTGGGGGCTAGAGTACACCTCTATACATCATTGGGGGCTAGAGTACATCTCTATACATCATTGGGGGCTAGAGTACATCTCTATACATCATTGGGGGCTAGAGTACACCTCTATACATCATTGGGGGCTAGAGTACACCTCTATACATGACAGTACACCTCTATACATCATTGGGGGCTAGAGTACACCTCTATACATCATTGGGGGCTAGAGTACATCTCTATACATCATTGGGGGCTAGAGTACATCTCTATACATCATTGGGGGCTAGAGTACACCTCTATACATCATTGGGGGCTAGAGTACACCTCTATACATCATTGGGGGCTAGAGTACATCTCTATACATCATTGGGGGCTAGAGTACACCTCTATACATCATTGGGGGCTAGAGTACATCTCTATACATCATTGGGGGCTAGAGTACACCTCTATACATCATTGGGGGCTAGAGTACATCTCTATACATCATTGGGGGGCTAGAGTACACCTCTATACATCATTGAGGGCTAGAGTACACCTCTATACATCATTGGGGGCTAGAGTACATCTCTATACATCATTGGGGGCTAGAGTACATCTCTATACATCATTAGGGGCTAGAGTACACCTCTATACATCATTGGGGGCTAGAGTACATCTCTATACATCATTGGGGGCTAGAGTACACCTCTATACATCATTGGGGGCTAGAGTACATCTCTATACATCATTGGGGGGCTAGAGTACACCTCTATACATCATTGAGGGCTAGAGTACACCTCTATACATCATTGGGGGCTAGAGTACATCTCTATACATCATTGGGGGCTAGAGTACATCTCTATACATCATTAGGGGCTAGAGTACACCTCTATACATCATTGGGGGCTAGAGTACACCTCTATACATCATTGGGGGGCTAGAGTACACCTCTATACATCATTGGGGGCTAGAGTACATCTCTATACATCATTGGGGGGCTAGAGTACACCTCTATACATCATTGGGGGCTAGAGTACACCTCTATACATCATTGGGGGACTAGAGTACATCTCTATACATCATTGGGGGACTAGAGTACACCTCTATACATCATTGGGGGACTAGAGTACATCTCTATACATCATTGGGGGCTAGAGTACACCTCTATACATCGTTGGGGGCTAGAGTACACCTCTATACATCATTGGGGGCTAGAGTACATCTCTATACATCATTGGGGGACTAGAGTACATCTCTATACATCATTGGGGGCTAGAGTACACCTCTATACATCGTTGGGGGCTAGAGTACACCTCTATACATCATTGGGGGCTAGAGTACACCTCTATACATCATTGGGGGGTAGAGTACATCTCTATACATGACAGTACATCTCTATACATCATTGGGGGCTAGAGTACATCTCTATACATCATTGGGGGACTAGAGTACACCTCTATACATCATTGGGGGCTAGAGTACATCTCTATACATCATTGGGGGACTAGAGTACACCTCTATACATCATTGGGGGCTAGAGTACATCTCTATACATCATTGGGGGCTAGAGTACATCTCTATACATCATTGGGGGACTAGAGTACATCTCTATACATCATTGGGGGCTAGAGTACATCTCTATACATCATTGGGGGCTAGAGTACACCTCTATACATCATTGGGGGACTAGAGTACACCTCTATACATCATTAGGGGCTAGAGTACATCTCTATACATCATTGGGGGGCTAGAGTACACCTCTATACATCATTGGGGGCTAGAGTACACCTCTATACATCATTGGGGGACTAGAGTACATCTCTATACATCATTGGGGGACTAGAGTACACCTCTATACATCATTGGGGGACTAGAGTACATCTCTATACATCATTGGGGGCTAGAGTACACCTCTATACATCGTTGGGGGCTAGAGTACACCTCTATACATCATTGGGGGCTAGAGTACATCTCTATACATCATTGGGGGACTAGAGTACATCTCTATACATCATTGGGGGCTAGAGTACACCTCTATACATCGTTGGGGGCTAGAGTACACCTCTATACATCATTGGGGGCTAGAGTACACCTCTATACATCATTGGGGGGTAGAGTACATCTCTATACATGACAGTACATCTCTATACATCATTGGGGGCTAGAGTACATCTCTATACATCATTGGGGGACTAGAGTACACCTCTATACATCATTGGGGGCTAGAGTACATCTCTATACATCATTGGGGGACTAGAGTACACCTCTATACATCATTGGGGGCTAGAGTACATCTCTATACATCATTGGGGGCTAGAGTACATCTCTATACATCATTGGGGGCTAGAGTACATCTCTATACATCATTGGGGGCTAGAGTACATCTCTATACATCATTGGGGGCTAGAGTACATCTCTATACATCATTGGGGGACTAGAGTACACCTCTATACATCATTGGGGGACTAGAGTACACCTCTATACATCATTGGGGGCTAGAGTACACCTCTATACATCATTGGGGGACTAGAGTACACCTCTATACATCATTGGGGGACTAGAGTACACCTCTATACATCATTGGGGGACTAGAGTACACCTCTATACATCATTGGGGGACTAGAGTACACCTCTATACATCATTGGGGGCTAGAGTACACCTCTATACATCATTGGGGGCTAGAGTACATCTCTATACATCATTGGGGGCTAGAGTACACCTCTATACATCATTGGGGGCTAGAGTACATCTCTATACATCATTGGGGGACTAGAGTACACCTCTATACATCATTGGGGGCTAGAGTACACCTCTATACATCATTGGGGGACTAGAGTACACCTCTATACATCATTGGGGACTAGAGTACACCTCTATACATCATTGGGGGACTAGAGTACACCTCTATACATCATTGGGGGACTAGAGTACACCTCTATACATCATTGGGGGCTAGAGTACACCTCTATACATCATTGGGGGCTAGAGTACACCTCTATACATCATTGGGGGACTAGAGTACACCTCTATACATCATTGGGGGCTAGAGTACACCTCTATACATCATTGGGGGACTAGAGTACACCTCTATACATCATTGGGGGCTAGAGTACACCTCTATACATCATTGGGGGACTAGAGTACACCTCTATACATCATTGGGGGACTAGAGTACACCTCTATACATCATTGGGGGACTAGAGTACACCTCTATACATCATTGGGGACTAGAGTACACCTCTATACATCATTGGGGGACTAGAGTACATCTCTATACATCATTGGGGGCTAGAGTACACCTCTATACATCATTGGGGGACTAGAGTACACCTCTATACATCATTGGGGGACTAGAGTACACCTCTATACATCATTGGGGACTAGAGTACACCTCTATACATCATTGGGGGACTAGAGTACACCTCTATACATCATTGGGGGCTAGAGTACACCTCTATACATCATTGGGGGACTAGAGTACACCTCTATACATCATTGGGGGCTAGAGTACACCTCTATACATCATTGGGGGACTAGAGTACACCTCTATACATGACAGTACACCTCTATACATCATTGGGGGACTAGAGTACACCTCTATACATCATTGGGGGCTAGAGTACACCTCTATACATCATTGGGGACTAGAGTACACCTCTATACATCATTGGGGGCTAGAGTACATCTCTATACATCATTGGGGGCTAGAGTACATTTCTATACATCATTGGGGGCTAGAGTACATCTCTATACATCATTGGGGGCTAGAGTACACCTCTATACATGACAGTACACCTCTATACATCATTGGGGACTAGAGTACACCTCTATACATGACAGTACACCTCTATACATCATTGGGGGACTAGAGTACACCTCTATACATGACAGTACACCTCTTTACATCATTGGGGGACTAGAGTACACCTCTATACATGACAGTACACCTCTATACATCATTGGGGGACTAGAGTACACCTCTATACATGACAGTACACCTCTATACATGACAGTACATCTCTATACATCATTGGGGGGCTAGAGTACACCTCTATACATCATTGGGGGCTAGAGTACATCTCTATACATCATTGGGGGGCTAGAGTACACCTCTATACATCATTGGGGGCTAGAGTACACCTCTATACATCATTGGGGGACTAGAGTACATCTCTATACATCATTGGGGGACTAGAGTACACCTCTATACATCATTGGGGGACTAGAGTACATCTCTATACATCATTGGGGGCTAGAGTACACCTCTATACATCGTTGGGGGCTAGAGTACACCTCT